GTACACAAGGGTGCAAAACCAGGTGCAAGACACCATTGCACCAATCTGTCCTGTCTATTTTTTACTCGTGGCAATTTTCCATCTTCAATGGGTATCAGTTCAACGGCCAAGTCACAGAACATTTACTATAATAATAAAGAAATCGCAGTAAGGAACCTAAGGCTTGGCACGACTTTGACTGTGAAACAAGTGAATTTATTTCTGCAAATAGGCTATAAGGCAGCACTTTTACACGTCAATTTTATCAAGAGGACGATGAGTTCGACATTTCCTAACTGACTACTCTGAGAAGAAATGCCGTAACAAACTCAGAGGACTAGATTTCATTACTATCTAGAGATGAACGATCGGCGCCATCGAGACTTGGATAGTGTTTTACAGAATGTTTTGTGGTTGGATTTCAGTTTTTACTTAGACTTCTTGTAGATTCAGACCTTCGATTTTTGACATCAAACGAAGCAGCTCGCCAGGTTGAATATTTTTTTGTTAAAGCAATACATGTCATTTTCTAATGCTTGGATAGGCTCATGTACCTCGTGTGTTCATAAGTTTTGAGACAAATTAAAAGTTGCATATCTTTTTAAATAATAAACTTATATTTATAAAAACAATAACAAACATTAAGTAGATAGTAAGTAAAAATTAAATATAATTATTATTCAAAATGACCACCCCTGTTTTTAATACATGCCCTTAGACGATTTGGCCAGTCATCAATGGCGGCACGAATCTTTTCCAGAGGAATTCGCTTCGCTTCTCGGACAAGAGCTCGCTTAAGTGACTCCAAGTTTGGGTGGGACTTTCGGCAGGCTCTGAGCTCTAATTCGGTCCATAGAGAATAATCCAGCGGGTTGAGGTCGGGGCTGGAGAAAGGTCGGTTCATTGGCACCGACCAATTTTAGCGCCGAACGCGTACTCGTTTCGAATACTTTACGCAAATCAAACTCGTACTATGGCCTCAGTACCCTAGTACTTATACCCTAGTGCAGATCTTCGATTATCCTAGTTTTTATAGTTTTCCCTTTACGTGACCATAAAACCCTAACTCTGTACCAAATTTCAGCTCTCTGAGTTTATGGGAAGTACCAGTTCTATTTTGATGATCATGAGTGACTGAGTGTCATAAATGCGAAACATTGCTTTCGCTTAACTTTGAAACCGAATAACCTGTAGACTTGAAATTTTGGATTTTAGGTATGTAATTATAGGTTATTGGATGGTGAAAATTTCTGCGTTCTGGTCTCATCCAGAGGTTCTCAAATCGGGGCCTGAAAATGCGGCGAAATGGTTTCAGTAAAGGATGGAACGGCAGTGATGGCTTCGCGCTCGAGGCGGGGGTACTACCATGCCCCCAGATTTGACTAATTCACCGACTCGTAGTTGTTACGTTACGGTGCAATACGGCCAACGGTGTAAATGAGGAACTTTAGTGCATCGCGACAACTTTCCGTACACGATGCGCGAACTCAGCATTAATTTTGTATTTGTTTCGTATTGTATGTACAATTGTACATTATTTTCTTATATTTTGATGATTTTTGTTCTTTTCTTTATGTTTTTAAGTTTGTTATTAATATTATGTATTTATGTAGGTAGTTAAGTATCTGTATTTTTATTTTTCATAATCTTTGTTTGTGTGCCATTTGCGAAATATTTGCTTTTTCTTTCTTTCTTCTTTCTAACTGTCGATCTAATTTCAACCTGTGTAAAGAGCGTCATTCATGGTACAACATCGACCAATTATTTTTATTTTATTTGGTTTCCTTTGCATCCTCCGGCCACAGCCTAATTTAGTAGAATCCTGATATTATAAACACGAAAGATTATAATGTATATCTGTTTACTTGATACTTCTTCACGTCAAACCGGCTGAAGGGATCAGAATTCAATTTGGAACAGGGGTAGAATGTGATCGAGAATCGAGACGGAGTTTCTCGCTCGTTCTTCTCCATAGGAATCTACGCCTTGGAACGAGCAAATAGCTTCACTAGAGGACTGACCTACAGACTGACATTTTTTCTTACATAACATAACATAACATCACGCCTTTTTATCCCCGAAGGGGTAGGCAGAGGTGCACATTTCGGCACTTAATGACAATGTAACACCCACTTTTCACTATTTATGTTATGAGTCCCATGTAATAGGGGGTGAGCCTATTGCCATATACCGGGCACATTTTCAGACTCCGTGCTACTACTGAGATTTTAAAAAACCCAGTAATACTTTGCCCGACCCGGGAATCGAACCCGAGACCCCTTGCCCGGCAGTCGCACTTGCGACCACTCGGCCAACGAGGCAGTCATTTTTTCTTATTATTTAATATTTTGTTTTGACATTCAAGTGCCTTCCTGGTGGAATTGAAATAAATGATTTTGACTTTGAAATAACAAATAGGCTACTTTTTATCCCACAAGAACGGAGACGAAGCTGAAGGTAGAAATAAAAACAGCAAGAATAAAAAATAAATTATTTATTTAATAATAATAATATAAATTGGATACATCTAAAACATTTAAAAATAAACAATAAGCGTTACAAATGCGTATGAAGCGTAAAATAGTTAATTGAATAACATACAATAACAATACGCCTTAAAAGGTAGGCAAAAGCTGCACGTAATATTAAATATTATACCATGCATGTCTTTGTATATCGTATTGTTTTATTATAATTCAACTTTTCTTATTCTTAATACTCTTAAAGCCAATTTTATGAAATGCATGCAACTGGATAGTAGATATGAAGTAGAGTGTTCCTTGTGTATGGTCCACAGATAATATTTTAGATATTATACTCGGAATTATAATTCGAATTCGATTCCAGATTTGACAATTTCAGTGTTGCAACGTTATGACAAGTACTAAATAGTGACGTTGCGAAATTATTCGATATGATAATGCAATATTTCTGGATCGATTCTTCATGTTTATAATTTTACTCTCGTAAACTAAGGATATCAGGAAATTAAATATTTCTGACCGATAATTTAGTTTTGACGATTACTTAACGATCTGAGACTTTTCTTTTATAATTTTGTGTGAAATAAATAAAAAAATGTAATCATGAAGGAACATAACAAATATTAATATATGTATTATGGTAATAAGTTATTTTATAAATTGTCGCCGCCATCGCTATCGCTATCCTGTCACTTTCTGTAACATTTATTATTAAACACACACACTGATTGTTTATCGATTTTTGTGTTCATCACTACACTATTATATGTGGTATCATTATTTCACAAAATGACAGTAGCTATTGTCAAATCTGGAATCTAATTAAAATTCTGACTATAGTATTCTATGATTTCAGTAAAATAATGAGTCTGGACCATGGACAAGACATCTTTATTTTTTAGTTTTTATTTTTATTTTTTAATTATATTGTGTGTTCTGCGCAGAAATAAATGGTTTTTATTTCTTTCTTATGTGTCTAAAACCACGTTTTTATTAAGGGGGGCAAATCATCGAATTACTTCTCCCGCCCGAGTGAGGCGGGAGGGAGTGTCAGACTCTTACTGACTAAAAACCACCCCGTTCCTTCTCCTGCACGTCGAGCTGGAGCCCCGGTAACCCGTTAGGTTCTCCGCGACAAGGAACCTTAGACTTGACACAAGTTGGTCTAAATGTCTTTACTTTTTAGAGCTGACCGAGCGGTTACCCACGTTTAGACACAAGAAAGATTACTGGACCATATTAAAGGACACTGGATCCATATCCACGCGTGGCATAATGTATTTTCTACTACCTTTTACCCGCGGCTTCGCTCGCGTCACAAAAGGATAAAAAGTAGCCGAATTTGGCCTCATTATTTGTGCTATAAAATCAAATACGATAAGCTAAATGAAATTCAATTTCAAAATAACAGGATATCATATTATTATCGAGTAAAAGTTAATGAATGTAAGTGTCCTTTAACTAGCGACCCGTCCCGGCTTCGCACGGGTGCAATATGCATGTATTATACATATAAACCTTCCTTAAGAATCACTCTATCTGTTAAAAAAACCGCATCAAAATCCGTTGCGTAGTTTTAAAGATCTAAGCATACATAGGGACAGACGGACGGCGGATAGCGACTTTGTTGTATACTATGTAGTGATAATACATTCAAATTGTAATTTTATCCCTTTCATTTATTTTCTTACAATGGTAAACATATTTTTAATGTATTATTACATATATTACATAATAAATGCAAGTATGTCACATATCCATAGATACAAATGACAGCTATCGATATTGTTATCCCCAGGGGACTTACTCTTGAATCCAATAGGGTAGTTTCCTAAATTTTATTTTAATGTCCGTCTGGTACATTAATTTAAAACATTAGACACGTATTTTTTCTTTTCTCACAAAATTATATACTTTCGACGATATATTAATTTGAAATATCGTGTGACGTCACAATGCGCTACATTTTGTAGCACTTAGTGACGTAACGACCTCCCACTCCTAAACTTAACTCCATTTTATCTAAGTATTGTAACTTTATACGAGGAAATAAAAAAATACGTGTCTAATATTGTTTCATTATCTAACTGACGGACTAATTAACTACCTAATTATAATTAGATTTTATTTTTCATTCCCTGGCAACTACCCTATTCCGATTGATCGACATTGATATTGTGTCGTACTCTTGAGTTGTAACACTAGCGCCCATTGTATCCGTATTGCGCGGATATTGAATGAACTAAATGGTATTGAGTTTGGCTTTATATTCCGTACTCTGAATGCTATTGTAACAGCTACGATTGTGGTTGTATAGTGTTGACATTGAGTAATTATTGAGATTTTATTGAATTGAAATTGCATTGACATTGAGATTGGTTTCAAGAGTATACTATAAAAGTGCCATATGTCTTAGGAGCTCAACAGAAGCGTAAAAATACAATATTACAATTTGTTTTTATAACAACTATCGTGAGCCATACTGAATTAACTAAAAATCGCGGGTTACTCACGTGAATATACTGAGAAAAGCTCTACTAGTTTCGAACCACAGAGGGGTTCTTCCTCATGAGCAGAGTGCGCGGTCGCGGCGATATGTCCAGGCGGCGCCCCCTGGCGGGCGAGCGTTAGCTTCCAGCTCCGGCGGCGGCGCGTGCGACGATGTTGAAGCGCACGGTACGTTCACCGGCGACGCGGGTAGTGGGTTCGATTTGGGGAATATTACCATAATACAATACTTAAGAATTTATTTGTTTAAATGCGCATTTCTCTGTAATTACTAGTTCGATTTGAATAATTCTTTTTGTGTTGTACAGTCCATTTATCGAGGAAGATTATAATCTATAAAACATATCGCTACCACAAATAGGAGCCGAGTTATATAAAAAAAATACATATTTAATCATCGCCAGCTAAAGCTGCGAACTTATTCGCTATAGCAGCCGTTTCGCTATCATCAGTGCTGTCATCATCAGCGTCAGAGTCATCAGAATGTCTGTCATCATCAGATTCTGAGGTCAGAACGTCGGACTTTTGTTCTTCTTGGTCTGACGTTAGCGCTTGCACCCATCTTATGTACTTAATTTCTTCGCAGGATTCATATTTGTCTGTGGAAACAAAGAAATAAGTTAATTTTTGTGATTTAAGATGAATTTATTTATATTAGATTAACATAACATCATCACGCCTTTTATCCCCGACGAGATAGGCAGAGGTGCACATCACGGCACTTAATGCCATTTTTTTTTAAAAAAAAACGTTGCCCCACATTAGGATTTTCTCCTGTGTCGTGGGTGCGTTTACAAACATACAAGTTCACATACACATGACACCCAGACTCGAAACAACAATTTGTGGCTCACACAAAGTGTTGTTCCGTGCGGGAATCGAACCCGCGACACGTTGCACGGCAGCCGGTTGCCCAGCCACCGCACCAACCGTGCAGTCATTACAATGTAACACCCATTTATCACTATTTATGTTACGAGTCCCATGTAATAGGGGGTGAGCCTATTGCCATATACCGGGCACATTTCCAAAGCCCGTGCTTCTATTGAGATTTTTTGAAAGAACACAGTAATACTTTGCCCGACCCGGGAATCGAACCCGAGACCCCTTGCCCGGCAGCCGCACTTGCGACCACTCGGCCAACGATAATAAAACATGCTAAAAATCGAGAACATCGGGGAACACTATCCTTTAAATGATTTACCTCGATGTTCCGCGAACCCTGGAGGTCGAAGCCACAGGCAAATTCTGCCGTCGAGAGCCATCCGGAGCAGACTGTTCGCCGCTCTATACGTGTCTAATCTGTGAACAAATATTACAATACATTATCATATTATTTCTTACTGATATATGACATGTGAAAGTTTGCGTGTATCACGTCAAAAACGGCAGATGAAGTTTTAATCAGGATTAGATATAAATTATGTATGATATTTTGGCATTTTCATTTTTTTTAAGGGAGGAAAATCATCAAACCCAAACTCAAAAGCATTTATTTCAATTAAACCATAATTTGGTACTTTTGAAACGTCAACAAATATGAAATATATCATAGTCTGCCAGTCTGGCCGTCAGTGAAGCTAGGCGCTCGTTCCAAAATGTCCATTCGCGTGGAGAAGAACGAGCAAGGAACTCCAATCGTTACTCTTTTAAAAAAAGTCTGTTTTACATTGTTCTGATACATATTCCAATATTGTACACACATCGAATGACAGCTCCCGCCTGGGTGAGGCGGGAGGGAGTGTCAGACTCTTACTGACTAAAAACCACCCCGTTCCTTCTCCTGCACGTCGAGCCGGAGCCTCGGGAACCCGTTAGGTTCTCCGTGACGGATATTTTGGCAATAGGTTCGTGCTGAAAATCAGCGCCGCGACTCAAGCAATCGTGTTAGTTAAGGAACAAAGGAATGTCTGACAGTTTAAACTGTCAAACACTAAGCGGTCACCGGTGACCACAACCTATTGTTCTATAATTGTGTCTATAATGACGGTACTCGACGAGTTTTTGTTACGTTTTCACTCACTCGTTTAAGTTTTGTTATTTGATTCCGTCCAAGAATTTTATTGATTATTAGCGACCCGCCCCGGCTTCGCACGGGTGGAATACTTATGTAAAAATACCTACTACAAAATGTCCTTATACATCACGTTCCGAAGGATACACCGGGCGTGGGGATCGCGGGACGATCTCCGGCCACCGTCAGCACGGTCCGGAGGACATACAGCATGGGGGCTCGTCGTCCGACCAGATACAGACCCGAGCGGACGGCGCCGAGCGTTCCGCGCGCACCTCAAAGAGCCATCAGACCACCACGATGGGATGGGGCCCAATAGGGCCGATGCCGATTCGGAGTCGCGGAGAACCTAACGGGTTACCGGGGCTCCGGCTCGACGTGCAGGAGAAGGAACGGGGTGGTTTTAGTCAGTAAGAGTCTGACACTCCCTCCCGCCTCTCCCAGGCGGGAGCAGTCATTCGATGATTTTCCCCTCTTAAAAAAAAATACACCACGTCCACAACTATTTTGTCATTAGACAATATAAAGATGTTATATATTGATATTTTCCTCGCTAGAGAGCTCCGATAAACGCGTGCGATCGTTGCAAGTCATGAAGTGCTCTAGGACGAAACGCGGCCATCAACTCCGCAACAATTACGTCCCTGCATTTTAAAGTATTATCTTCGGAAATATTCACTAAAATTATATACTGTAAAAAGCATATAAGGCATAATAAGCCCCCTTATTAGGACTTATAATTTCTAATTAAAAGTTTGAAATCGCCAACCCGCATTGAGCCAAGCGTGGTGATTAATGCTCAAACCTTCTCTGTGTGAGAAGAGGCATTTGGTCAGCAGTGGGCACTTGTAGGCTGTTAATGATGATGATGTATAGATTAAATATTAATTAATACATGCCTGGCCGCTTTAGCAGTAAGGTACCCTTTCTTCTTCGCCCATCCATCGCATATGTCTCGCGGGGACCAAGTATCGTCGCCTTCTGGGTGCTCTATGCGTAGAAGCTTTGGCATGTCCAGTCTTTCCGATAGATACCTGGGGACATAGAAATAATAATAATGGTTATAAATTCATAGTTAATTACCTTTTTTTATATTAGTGTAAAAGTATATTTACAATTCAAAGTATTAGTAATATCTTAAATTAGGTTAGTTTACAATTGGGTAGTTTCCAGGGTGTCAAAATTAAAAATCTATGTAATTAGTCCGTCAGTTAGATAATGAAAAATATTATATACGTATTTTTTTTATTTCCTCGTATTAAGTTGCAATACTTAGATAAAATGGGGCTAAGTTTAAGAGTGGGAGGTCGTTACGTCATAACGTGCTACAAAATGTGACACGCTGTGACGTCACACGATATTTCAAATTAATATATCGTCGAAAGTTTTTAATTTTGTCAGAAAAGAAAAAATACGTGTCTAATGTTTTAAATTAATGTACCAGACGGACATTAAAATGAAATTTAGTAAACTACCCTATTGTAGTAAGTAGGTATATTTATAATATTATTATCTTGCTGTTTCTTTTACACGAACCCCTTTTGGGTAAAATCCTCCTCTAATCCCTTCCATTTATCCCTGTTTTGACAGAGTTTCAATGGTTAATTACGAATATTTTTTTATTTAAAAACGTTGCCCTACACTAGGAGGCGGGACGCGTCTTTGCAACCCAGGCATTGCGAAGGACACTCCGGACGTCGGGGATCGCGGGACGATCTCCGGCCACCGTAAGCGCGGGCCTGCGGACGGCGAGCATGGGTGGCTCCCCGTCCGACCAGAAACAGACCCGAGCGTACGGCGCCGAGCGGTCCGCGCGCCTCAAAGAGCCATCAGACCACCACAGATGGGGCCCAATAGGGCCGATGCCGATTCGGAGTCGCGGAGGACTTAACGGGTAACCGGGGCTCCGGCTCGACGTGCAGGAGAAGGAACGGGGTGGTTTTTAGTCAGTAAGAGTCTGACACTACCTCCCGCCTCACCCAGGCGGGAGCAGTCATTCGATGATTTCCCCCCCTTAAAAAAACACACTAGCACACTCCTATTGTGTATTATGTTTGAGCCAGGTGTTGTACCAAATAAATAATTTTTCTTTGTTGCTTTCTTTCTTATCCTCAATAGGGGCTATCGTATCTTTTCTTACTAGATGGCGCAAATGTAGCATGAGATTTTCGTCTAATCACAGCAGTTGTCAAATAATGAACGTCCAATGTCGTGATAATAGGTAATAGGAATGATGACAGGGTATGAATATTAAAAATCTAATTAGTTCGTCAGTTAGGTAATGAAAAAATATTAGACACGTATTTTTTTATTTTGTCGTATAATATAACGATACTTAGATATAACGAATCAAAGTTTAGGAGTGGGGGCTAAAACGTCATTTCTACGTATAAAATGTACGTAGAAGTGACGTCACGCGACATTTCAAATCAATATATCGTTAAAAGTATTCGTTTCTGTAAGAAAATAAAAAATACGGGTCTAATGATTTAAAATAATCTACCAGACGAACATTAAAATAAAAATTAGTCATCTACCCTATACTTTATTGGACGAAGAACAAGAGGTCGTACACACTAATGCCTTCTAGTGAGCGGAAATATACGGAAGCCCATATTTAAATAGGAACTTACCTAATTGTAGTATAAGGTTCCCGTAACTGCGCTATGGGGTACGATCCCATGAGTATTTGTATCGGCCGTGGAACAGTCGACGGAAACACCAAACCAGGACAGTCGCATAGACGTACCTATGATGAAACATAATGAATTGGGAATTAACTCAACTTCGGCATTAATTAGACACTTTGAAACGTCAAAATAGATTTTTTAAGAGTGGGAGAGCCATGCTTCGGCACGAATGGGCCGGCTCGACCGGAGTGATACCACGGCCGAGCAGAAAACCGACGTGAAGCAACGCTTGCGTTGTGTTTCGTTGTGTGAGTGAGGTTACCGGAGGCCCAATTACCCTCCAATTCCCCAATCTCCCCAATTCCTGAATCCCCAACGATCCTCAAACTGCTAATCCCCAAAAAGCCGGTGACGCACTTGTAACGTCTCTGGTGTTCCAGGTGTCCATGGGCGACGCCGATTGCTTACCATCAGGTGATACGTCTGCTCGTTTACCGGCTTATACCATAAAAAAAAGAATTGTCAATTAGTGTGTCTGTCTATCAGTAGCGTAAATTATTAATAGTATCACACATCAACACGGGGTTTTAATACAACCCATGGAGCCTAATACCGGCCACAAACCTTAATTTCGGCCATGAATCCTTAATTCTACCAGCATGCCTAACTTCAGACGCTAACTTCAAGTTTGAACCCTAATTTCTATCATAGTCCCTAATACCGGCCACTGTGCCTAATACCGGCCACAGTGCCTAATACCGGCTACAGTGCCTAATACCGGCCACAGTGCCTAATTCCGGCCACAGTGCCTAATTCCGGCCACAACGCCTAGTTCCGGCCACAACGCCTAATTCCGGTCACAGTGCATAATACCGGCCACAGTGCCTAATTCCGGCCACAGTGCCTAATTCCGTCCACAGTGCCTAATTCCGTCCACAGTGCCTAATTCCGGCCACAGTGCCTAATACCGGCCACAGTGTATAATACTGGCCAGGAAATGTAACGTCGACCATAGAGCCTAATATCAGTTACAACGCCTAATTCCGGCCACAGTGCCTAATACCGGCCACTCACCTGAGGCGTCAAATAAATAGTCTGGAAGTGCTTCGTGTGTCCCGGAGTCTTGGAGACTGATACCACGCAGCGTCCCATTAAAGCGTTCAATAGGGACGACTTGCCGACATTAGGCTGTCCCACGCAGCCAATAGATAGGACGCCGGACTTGTACCGTTCGTGCGTGTAGAAAGATGTGTCTGCTTTTTCTAATATTGTCTCACCTGTGAACAAAATAGAAAGTTATGTTTCTGCCAGCGACAGAGGGTGCAAATGAAAACTATGATCATTTTACTAAATTTATTATAATTAAAATTACATGATAATTCCTAAAGTCTAACTAAACTAACCTACGAGCGAATGCGTTCGATATTAGAACGACACTGACTTCTTCTCTTAAAATTATTTCGAAAGAAGGTTTTCAATAAATCCTATTGAGGTTAAATTTAGTGGGGTGATTGATGATGCAGCGATTCGCAGCTGGGCACGGGGCGGTGACATGAGGAGACGACTCAGCAGTTTAGGTGTTGCAATACTTCGTTGCATCAAAGTTGGTCTAACGTCCTGATTCAGCAGATATGCTCCTCGTGGCACGGCGTTGATCACGGTGTAGGTACATGTGTCGGCACCGATACGTAACAAGAATATAAATATTTCCTAGACGGACATACAATCGATCAGATTGGCGATATATTAAATCTAAGTGGGTCCTATGTTTAAGCAGTTATACTTGCTGGGTGTCATGTGTATGTGAACTTGTATGTTTGTAAACGCACCCACGACACAGGAGACAGTCCTAGTGTGGGGCAACGTTAAAAAAAAAAGAATAATAGGTATGGCAAGAACGCCTAAACGACTGGAGTGTCTCTTATTCATTTAGCTTTTTAGGGGATAAACGAGATCGAGTCACCTGATAATATGCTATCGACGCCCACCCATCTATACCTATACTCGGAATTTTAATTCGATTCCAGATTTGACAATTTCAGTGTTGCAACGTTATGACAAGTACTAAATAGTGACGTTGCGAAATTATTCGATATGGAAATGTAATATTTCTGGATCGATTCTTCTCGTTTATAATTTTACTCTTGTAAACTAAGTATATCAGGAAATTAAATATTTCTGAACCGATAATTTAGTTTTGACGATTAATTAACGATCTGAGACTTTTCTTTTATAATTGTGTGTGAAATAAATAAAAAAATGTAATCATGAAGGAACATGACAAATAAAACAGATAGATGTATTATGGTAATAAGTTATTTTATAAATTGTCGCCGTCATCGCTATCGCTATCCTGTCACTTTCTGTAACATTTATTATAAAACACACACACTGATTGTTTATCGATTTTTGTGTTCATCACTACACTATTATATGTGGTATCATTATTTCACAAAATGACAGTAGCTATTGTCAAATCTGGAATCTAATTAAAATTCTGACTATAGT